ATATTGACAATGAATGTAGTGTGGCCATGTCCGGTACTTTCACAATGAATGTAGTGTGGCCATGTCCGGTACTTTCACAATGAATGTAGTGTGGCCATGTCCGGTACTTTCACAATGAATGTAGTGTGGCCATGTCAGGTACTTTCACAATGAATGTAGTGTGGCCATGTCAGGTACTTTCACAATGAATGCAGTGTGGCCATGTCAGGTACTTTCACAATGAATGCAGTGTGGCCATGTCAGGTACTTTCACAATGAATGCAGTGTGGCCATGTCAGGTACTTTCACAATGAATGTAGTGTGGCCATGTCAGGTACTTTCACAATGAATGCAGTGTGGTCGTGTCATAAATGCAGCAATAACAACCTACTAAAGTTTTCATGAGGATCTGAACAGTCGAGAGCTGGGTCAAGTTGTGTGTTTACGTAAGGATGTCACTCTTTTGTAGACAGTCAAAATCATCCACTTGCAACAAAAGAAAATGTCACATTTACACGGGACTATAAAGAATATGATCACTAGGAACATCAAATCAGTGAAATGACTAATGATTACACTGGTCATCCAAGTGTTTTATACTAAAGTTATTTTCAATACACATTTTCTTAATGTAAATAAGTGGCTATGTTGGCATGTTCACATTGAACATGGTGCCGCCGTGTCGGGCACATTCATTATTGAATGTAGCCAATCTGCCAGTTAAATTGATGAATGTAACTTTTTCACTAATATAACAGAAACAAATGCACACCATTAGTTATGATGAGGATAGGTTAAACTATCTGTTATAATGTGGATAAGTATGTTGCCCTCGGTAAATGCAGTTTCTTAGCCTACAACCATCATTCACGCTTGGAAAGAATTCACAAAATTCAAATGTCACTGAATTCACTTTAAACGAGTCAACCTACCTCAAGGCTTTCAATACATACACAAAGCTTGCATGTCAAACGACCAGATAACAAACAAAACGTGGCACAGAGGTTCTACAGAGTGCTCTAGCAATGGTTTCCTTAACTCTTTCCCTGCCAGCCAGTGCCAAGTTTAACCCTTCATCCTTCAATGATCTAGTTTAAAACAGCCAATGTATGGAAACAGTCTGAAACAGTTAAAAACAATATTAGTGGACACAGGTTGGCACCTATTTTTCCAGACAACAGATATGGGAAACGCAGCTCAGGATGATAGTTGCTCTAAAGCATGCTCGCTGAGTGCAATATCACGGCATGCCAGATGCTTGCCTTGCTCATTATGGAAAGTATGAATACACCATCATCTAGCAGCTTATGCAAAACTTTCCTCCAGGTTCTCCTTTTGAAATTTCTATCATAAGCCAGATGCCCTGTCACTGATCTCATCATATCACTTATTACATTTAAATTTGTCTTCGGTTGAGGTTCGAACTACACTACAGATATGCTCCATACCTACGCCAGTGGAAATCACATATAATGTCCTTCCCTGTCCCAGTGGAAATCACATATAATGTCCTTCCCTGTCCCAGTGGAAATCACATATAATGTCCTTCCCTGTCCCAGTGGAAATCACATATAATGTCCTTCCCTGTCCCAGTGGAAATCACATATAATGTCCTTCCCTGTCCCAGTGGAAATCACATATAATGTCCTTCCCTGTCCCAGTGGAAATCACATATAATGTCCTTCCCTGTCCCAAAGTTATTTAATGTTAAATCCTTTTTTACTGTATTCCTTCTTCCTCTTCATTTCCCATGAAAAACGTGTTTCATAATCATCTTCACACCAAAGTTTTTCACAAACTATAAACGTTTTTCTCAATTTTACCTTCCACTGTAATTATTCTTTCTTCTTCTTTTGTCAAAATCTGCTTGTGCTGCTAGGCGTCGCAGTCTATCAGATGATCGGCAACCGAGCCAGGGCGCGCTCAGTCGCTTCATATGCCGTGATGTTATGAAGTCTCAAGTTGTCCGTGACTCCTTCAATCCATCTTCTTCTTGGTCTTCCCCTGCCTCTTAGTGTTTTAATTTTCATGTTGTATGCTCTTGATGCTGGCATCGTTGGTTCCATTCTCATTAGGTGAACAAACCATTTCATTCTTTGCTTCTCAATAAATTTAACGATAGGTATGGTTCCAATAGTTCTTTAATCACATCGTTTCTCACTCGATCTCTTCTGGTTTTATTCGCAGCCATTCTCAAACATCTCATTTCACAGGTGGTTAGTCTTCTCTCTAATTATTCTTTAATACTGATAAATATAAGTTTATTTTTTTTCTATACAGATCTCGAAGACTTGCATTATTTGGTTCTAAATTTATTTCAGTCCTAAAGTAAGATCTATGGCCATGAATGAGTAAAAGTTCCCCTTGTGATTTACAGTGCCAAAGTCTGATTGAACACAATAAAGATTAAATGTGTGTGTTGTGTGTGTGTGTGTAGCTGGCTGTGTGGTTGCAAAGTCAGGCCCTTATGCGTGAGACCTGAGCTCAACCTCCAGGAAAGGTGTTTTCTGTCGGGAGCAAAAATAAACATCCTAACCTTCAGTCGGTGGCAACAGCACTAGCTAAGCAGCCCTAAATTGCTCAGGCCAGCTCCCCCATTCTCCATTTACTCTTCTTCTTCACTTCCTCTTTTACCGCTGTGGGTGTCGAGGGAGATATATGGTTCTGTTTCTAGCTCTTCTGGCCGCCTCGACCATAGGCACATTTTATTGTTTTTCACCCTACAGAAGTTTTCCTTCCATGCGTTTATTGCACACAATCTGAGGTATAGCATCCACCTTCCATGCGTTTATTGCACACAATCTGAGGTATAGCATCCACCTTCCATGCGTTTATTGCACACAATCTGAGGTATAGCATCCACCTTCCATGCGTTTATTGCACACAATCTGAGGTATAGCATCCACCTTCCATGCGTTTATTGCACACAATCTGAGGTATAGCATCCACCACGAGTGCTGGAGGTCATGGGTTCAAACTCAGGTGAAGGCGAGGATTATTTTTATGTGGACTTCTAGTAATTTCCCCTGGTCTTTGGGTAGACGGATGCCCGTGTGTATTGTTGTGCACAAAAATAAAAAATCCCCTGGCAGTTGGAAATTGAAAAGAGCAGCCTAACTGCATTGCCTGGGCAAAATTTTTAGTTTAAAATCGACCTTAAGTATTTCAGGATCCTCGTCGGTGCAACAGAGTTCACGCACGGTGCATTTATGGGTTACACCCATGTGCCATGATGTTAATCACTCGACCAAACTAAATCTGTGCAAAGCAATTAATTAAGGCCATTATTGAAACCTTTAGTAAATATAAATGCAAAGATGTAAAATTTAAAACAAGAGTATCTGGATACTTTTTTCTAATATGAAACATTGAATTCTTGATTAAAACAATATTTTGCAATTTTATATACGCATGTCATTAAAATGCTTTAAGGACAGTTATTTCTTAAATTGTCAATGTGTTCCAATTAATATCGCTGAAACAACAAATGCCTGCAGATACCAGTGAAATGTCATCGACATCAAACTCCTTCTTGTGTGTTTGACTGACATACATTTTTGGTCAAACCACTGGCCATGTCAACATCCCATAAATAAAAGTGTGTCTACAAATAAAAACATTTCCATAACAAATAGTTTCGAACTCAGTATGTCAAATGTCCTGATCTGCAGTCTGTGCATTTATCTCAGAGGTATTATCTCTCTATATTCTCACACACCCCACACCCTCTTTCAAAAATGCAGTTCAAAGGACACTAATTGCATTATTCTTTTTTTTCTTCTTTGCAATCACCAGCTGTAAACTCTGGCTAAAAAGTTCTGGTTGTTCATCCACTTAAGGATCTGGTTTTCTTCCTGAACTGCAGTTTTGCATGCAAATCTTTTTTTTTATATATCTGATTTCATGCAGACTGAGTTCCTGGCCTCTCAGGCAGATGGACTCCGACTTTAAAGGGTCCACCCCTGATTACTCTACTTTTAGAACAAGCTAATGGGAGGCAGGTGGGGGGGGGGGGGGGGAAGCAGTGAGCCCACACCCTTTCCCTTCCCATTGGGGCCCTGGAACCTGCATGGGGATAAGTGCTCTCTATATCTGCACTAAACTTACATTCACATATGACATAGTTACGTACAGACACAAAATGGTATCTTATATGCACCATAATTCGCATAATATTCATTAGTCACAAAAGACATAATACCTTTTATACAGAAAACATAATTAAAATTCACATACAAAATAATACACAGTATATATCTTACATTAACCAGGAACTGAATATCTTACATTCACACACTACATAATACCTTATATTCACAAAAAACATACATAACATTCAAATACAACATAATATTCCATACTCAGGCAGAATATATCTTACACTGACCATAAAAATATTTTATATTCACACAACACAATATCTTTCATTCACAGAAAATATATCTTATATTAACACAACATAATATCATACATTCATAAAGCATAATATTGTTGAATTACACACAACAAAATACTTTTCATTGGCACTGAATATGTGTTACATTCACACAAAATAATATCTTACACTTACACCTAAGAAAATATTTTACATTCACACAGAATATATTTTACATTCACACATACCATACATTTCTAGTCACATACAACATATCTTACATTCACACACAATATATCTTACACAATATTTATAACATACACACAGTATAATTTTTTTCCTTCATACCGAATATAACTGAACATTTACACACAACACAATATCTTACGTCCACACAAAATGACCATTACTGCAGCATTTCACACACATGTATGAACAAACGCACACACAACATAGATGATAACTGCGGTACATCCACTTGTCTAACTGGACTACAACCAGGACTGATGTGTCTTGTCTGCACCGAGAGTGATTTCCCTGGACGTGAAGCAACTGCTGTGCCACATTGGTGATTTCAATGAGTGGTGGGAAGAAACGGTGAAAAATACAGACCAGGGGATCGTAGAAGAAGGACATTTGTTTTCGTTCACACCAGGTTGTATTCTTTCAAGTTGAGTTGCAGAATTGTGTCTTTCACTGCTGCAAACACGAACCTTATATTCTCAGTATCTGAAAGGAACAAAAACAGAAACTGTTCTGAGAACTGAATTTTATTTTATTTTATTTAGTTTTTCTCCCCTCACGCTTGCAGTTTGTAGGATTAACAACTCAAGAAAATAAAACATGTTTTTTATTTCTTCTTCTTCTCTTCCACTTTGTACCTCAGTGAAGTGTCGGAGGAGATGTAACTTTTGTTGATGAGCTCTGTCAAGAGCACTATTAAGATTGATGTTCATTTTTGTGAGGCTGTTCTTAATGCCATCACCGCATCTTTTTCCGAGGTCTTCCACTTGCTCTATACTCATTGTAACGTTTCAGTGTGGATCATTGTGGTAGACAGAACCAGGGCCTTCTTGTTAGGTGTCCAAACCACTTCATTTGTTATTCTGTTATGACCTGTAAGACTGGCTTTATTCCTAACATTTGTCTGATTTCACAATTTTGGATTCTGTCTTTCTTTTAACTCTTTGAGGTCCAAGCAACGGTGTGAGCATTGTTTGAGAAGTTCAGTTTTGCCCAAACAACGCTGTCATCGTCGATCATGTGTCCCGTACATTTTGCTTCGCACACGCCCCTGCATTAGTTTCTAATGTTTGGTGGTGCGATTAAACTATTCAGGGAAAGTCACTCTGCCGAAAGCCGTTTCGTTTCATTTCCTAGCCTAAACCACACGTGCGAAATTTAATAGGATTAACAGCAACATTTTTTTTCAACAGTGCATTTAATAAGTTCGTTTTCGAGTGCCATGAATACCAATGTTCCAACCACAAGTACAGGTCGCAAAATGCGTCTTTATGTGGCCGAAGCTCTGAAATTGTTTCAGTCAGATGTTTATAATTCTGATAATGATAATGAAAATTTAAATTTTTCTGAAAGTGATTCGGACGGGGCATTTTCACCAGTGAAGCTGAGCAATCAGCTGTTCTAAATACAGCGATTCTGACGAGTTTATTACACAGACAATGCCCTATTGCTACCGTATTTATGGTGTAAGAGAAGGAAAGTCTCTAAACAAAGAGATTGTACTATACTATGGCTAAGCTGCATTGAAATCATCACAGTTAAAGTCTGTATATAACAGTAAAAAGTAAATAGTAAATAGCGTGTGTCATGGCTATTCTTTCTCTGAAATTTTTCTCAGCACTCTGTGAGAACTAAGGGCTCCTGAGTGTTAAACTAACCTAGAAACTTATCATAACTTTGGAATTTGTTAGGAAATTGAACAAACTTTGAAGTTATGTTCTCAAATTTGGATATTCACTATTTGTGTGGCTGCAAAATCATGGTAAGTGAAGAATTTGTAAAATGTTGTCAAATTAACAGCTGCTGAATTCTTCTTTCCTACTAACTATAAAAAAATTAAACATACTTATCTTCAGATTCAAAATGTACATTCATTTCTCTTTAAAAATGTATACCTAAATGTATACTTTTATTAGGATTAGAAGTATATTACATTCTCTATTGCCTTTCTTGTACACCCATCCCTCTGCCATTTTTGTAAAGGAAAATTTATGTAGGCTAAATCTGTCAAAATTCATGGGCCTGAAAGAGTTAAACTCCTGCAGCTCTTCTAAGGCTTTTATCTCTGTTGTCACAATGTTACGTTCATTAGAGGATGTAAGTGTCCACATCTGGCACTGAAAGCAAATCCCCAAAACTCTGTTCGACTGCTGTACAGTCATGTAGTAAACAAGGAATCATGTGTGTATTTAGCAAGGATGGATTTAAGAGAAGAAGAGAATGGCAAGCGTGTACTTAGTGTGTTACAGGAAAAGTTAGCATCTACACTTTAAGGCATTTGCTGCATGAGACTTAGCATCACTGAGGATGCCCGCTGTGCTATAATGACTCTTGAATCAGTACTCAGTCACATAGCACTATACAGGAAGAGATCTGTAATCTATGCCATAAATACAATAATATAGAGCAAAATCTGTTGGAGTGTAGGAACTATTAAAACCAAAAGAAACCATTAACCGACTATGAATCTCTGTAAATTACCTATGACGATTGAAAACTAGTTGCACATAAACAGCCCGAGAGCTGCGTGGTGTGGTCAGAAAATGTATTACGAGGACTCAAATCCATACATAGAAGGGTGAAGAATGCCCCTGTCTTCCTTGAAGACGTTTTCTCTCAAGATAAAATCGAGAATAAACAACAATGAACAACTGGAACTTTCCACCGGAGTTAACAGCCGGTGAATGCCAAGAAGGAGAAGAAAGAAAGAAACTCTCAAAAATAACTGGTTACCACTTTAAGAACGAGTAATTAGCATTTATGAGAAGGCAAAAACTGTGACAACAGGAAAAGCGGAGGGGAAGAGTGGCTATGGAAGACCAAGAGATGATAGTCTGTCATCATGATATAGAGGAACATTTGTATTAACCCTCTCACTCTGGGATGCAGCAAACCTGGCATCTGTCTGTGCAATGCCATAGAAACAACATAACTGGCACTGTTGCACTGGCGAGTCCCCAAGAGGTATAATTAACAGGTACTTGTTGTTGTAAAGACAGTGCTTAGAAGGTCTAGATATAATATTTACTTAACAAACAACAAGAAAAAGCTTTCTCCATGTGGGTTTGGGTCTCTCTCTCTCTCTCTTTCTTCTCCAACTATCTCTTTCCCACTTTATGTACGTGTGTATGTGTGCATGCGTGAGTGCGTGTGTGTGTGTATGGATAAATCTACTTCCCCTAAACAAGCACACACAAAAAGTCAACTGATTAGGGATGCTTCCTTCGAAGTCAAGAGTGCATCTGCCTGAGGAGAAACACCAAGCCTGCATAACTCAGGTTCCAGAACAAGACTAATGACCAACTTATGTTTTTCATTTGTTTCTTGAAGGACTGACTCGATCTATGTTTCTCTGCCCATGGTATTCTTTACCCAGAAAGTACATTTCTGCTGCAGTCAGATATTTCTCTATCTACATACTGTCCATGTTTTATATGCGTACAGCAGCATAGGTTCTTCTTCTTCTTCACGATTACTGGCTGTTGATTCAGTACAAAGTTTGAGTTGCTGGTCTACTTCTGGACCTTGGTCTTGTTCCAGGACTTGCGTTCTGTGTAACAGTAAAGATCCTTTTTTACGCCGTAGGCGCATGGGGCATATGGGAAGAGCACCCATATTTTTTTTTTGCAAATATATTTTCTGGCTTATTTGTATTCAGACTGTTAGTTCTTTGCTTTTCCGACAGATGCACTCCAACTTCAAAGGAAACAACCATAATTAGTCCACTTTTATGACGTGGGGGGTGACTATCCCTTTTTTAATTCTCTAGCTGTGCTTGCTTCTTTCTTTGGTTTAATTCTACAAACATTTTTAGGATGAATTCTCTAGCTGTGCTTGCTTCTTTCTTTGGACCTGAAACAAATCAAGAAAAGATTTCCCAGTCTGTATTACATCAAGCTACATACTAAATGTTCATCTATAGGTACAGAAGGCTTTTTCCAGCAGACATGAATTAAATTATCTACAGCAGTGTTTTTCCACCCCCTACAACCCCCCCCCCACCCCCCCCCCCCCTCCCAAAAACTAAAGAAAGTTCTCTAATCCACATGGTCACTTTATAAAGTACAGCAAATTAAAGGTAACCAGAGGACTGTTACCCCTTTTATATATTAACAGCACACCCCAATGCTGACTCTCCTTTTTTTTTTAAAAAGACTGAACATTATTTCTCCAATTACTGTAAGCCTCTTGCACAAGCTACACATTATTTATCCAATTACTTAAGCCTCCTGCACAGGCTACATATTATTTATCCAATTACTCAAGCCCCCTGCACAGGCTACACATTATTTCTCTAATTATTCAAGCCCCCTGCACAGGCTACACATTATTTCTCTAATTACTCAAGCTCCCTGCACAGGCTACACATTATTTCTCTAATTACTCAAGCCCCCTGCACAGGCTACACATTATTTCTCTAATTACTCAAGCCCCCTGCACAGGCTACACATTATTTCTCTAATTACTCAAGCTCCCTGCACAGGCTACACATTATTTCTCTAATTACTCAAGCCTCCTGCACAGGCTACATATTATTTCTCTAATTACTCAAGCCCCTTGCACAGGCTACACATTATTTCTCCAATTACTGTAGGCCCCTTGCACAGACTACACATTATTTCTCCAAAAAAATGTGGGATATCAGTCATGGTTTAAAATTTGCTGCAAATGGTTCACTTCATAGTTGTACCATTCCAGTGCCTATAAAATGTCTATCATGTCCTATGTGAAAAATCAAACAGACAACACTTCCAGCAAATCAATTCAAATTTTCATTAAAGTTTAAAAGCCCTGGTTTACATCTTCCATGTTAAGACATGGTCTGTAATGCACATCTATTTGCTGCCACTGAAGAACTGTTTGCTAGTTTTATCCCACAGGTCCTTGATCCTTTAACCCTGACACACCAGTATTTCAGCACTGACATTCATTACAATTTGGTAATTAGCCAATATTCCAGCAATAAAGCTTCTGACAAGTCCCCACTGGAGGTTGACTGTTCTCGAGGCATGGCGTCCACCTCGAGTGCTGGAGGTCCCAAGTTCTCGCCCCAATAAAGGCTAGAATTTTGTTCACTTGGACTTCTAGTAATTTCACCTGGTCTCTGGGTAGTAAGATCGGACGCCTGTGTGTATTGTTGCACACGTTAAAAAAATCCCTTGGAAGTTGGAAATGAAAAGAGTAGCCTAAATGTGCTGCCCAGGCAAAATTTTGAGTTAAAAATCTTCCTAAAGTACTTCAGGATCCTTGCCGGTGCTACAGAGTTCATGCATTGCGCTGAGATAGAATGGAACACTTACGGGTTACTACCCTTTTCTCATGGTGTTAATCCGTTTTATAAACCAAACCAAACCAGTCCCCAGTTTGCTTTTGGTACTGTTTGCACCTGCACTTGTTCAGTGTTCAGAAAAATCAGATATTATATTTACTAAATATAGCATTTAGGTGGGGTTTTGTATTTAAAATTGCTGTTTTTGTTGTTGTTGTTTTGTTTAGTCATTGTGACTTCATCATTTGCCTCTAGTGATCACATAGCACCAGGGTGACGGTAAAAGGCATTGTATAAATGTTAGGCTCAAGGAAAAGTAATCCTTTCATTTTCCATTCCATTTGTTTTTATGAATTACTTCCCTTCACATTTATATTTATATATACACACACTCACACACACACATATATATATATATATATATAATTCATGTATACAAATAAATTGGTTTTACTGTTTTAGTGACCTGTGTAAAACTTTTTTTTTTGGTCAAAGTTATTTTTTCAGGATTCTTGAATTCTGGAGCTTTTTCCCAAGGGTTTCCAAGAGGAAGCATTAATAATAGTGTTTTGCCTATGTGTCTGCAGAAATGTTCAAGCAAAAACAAAGATGTGTCAGTTGGATACGCAAAACTTGTAGCTTATGTCTGTATTTATCAGCTTGCTGATAATAATTTTCGGTACACCTCACGTTTTCAGGCCCAGCAAGAGAGTGACTTCCCTTCCCATTCATGAATCACTGTGTTGCACAGTTTACGCTATGTTGTGGGGGTGACCGGCCAACAACACGTAGCATTTTTACTAGTTTTCACCAGCCGGCAAGATTGCATGTTCTATATTACAGGATGTGAGCGCTTTTAACGGTCCTGAAACATGCAGACCTGGCCGTAACCCCAACACCTCCCCCCCCCCCCCCCCCCTACATCCCATGAGAGTGTGCAGCCTACATTCCACAACTGCATGCAGCCTAGGTCGCATGACTATATGCAGTGTAGAGTGATAACCCCGCAACATAGGACAAGCAGTGCCGACTCCGCAATATATAAATAGGGAAGAGAAGTCACTCTCTTTCTGGGTTCGAAAACATGAGTTGTAATTAGTTTTCTTTGAAATGTAGCTAACACTGAATGCATTCAGGTTTTTTAATTTGACTGAACCAGATATAATATTAGATATATACAAATGGGAGATTACAGCGCTTCTGTCATCAAGCCAGAAAAAAATCATCATCAAAATTTGCCCTGTCAGGTGGCATTGGTGATTATGCTTCTCTCTAAACTGCAGTCTCTTAAATAGCAAATATCAGTTTGTGTCCTGACAAACCTTCATGTTAGAGACAAAAGGTTAGCTACAATCTTCCCTGTCTCTCCCCCCCCCCCCCCCCCCCAGATCTTTCAAGTGGTCACAACATGTTCAAGTTTTCTTCTTCTTATAACATGTCCACAAAATTATTACTGTCTCTTCCTGGTATTTCTGGGAAGCTGTCTTCGAGCCCTCACCTCTTTCAAAACACCTGGATTGCTCTTTCTGGCTCTCAAGGAAATTCAAGGAATGGAAATTAAATCAAATTAAAATGGAAATCAAAGTCAGAAATACTCACCATCAAATTCAGGAAAATAGTCTACAAGATGTGAATGCATAATCTTTTCCTCTAAAAGGTCTTTCTTGTTGAGAAAAAGAATGACTGACGAGTTCTGAAACCACGGATAAGTGATTATCGTTCGAAACAAGGCCTTGGATTCCTCCATTCGGTTCTGTAAAGAAATGTAAAACATACAATTTAACACTACTTCTTTTATCAAAACTATAAAGAATAGTGCAGGCTCAGATACTGCAGATAAATCAGAAAAGAAACATAGAACATAACAAACAAGGTGCCAATCAAAGTCATGAATTTACTAATACCAGAGTAGTTGAAATTTCGGTCCAAGAACTTATGGACTAAATTATTCAATGTGCACTGAGGATAGTCTGTTGACTAACAGGTACAATGTGTTTCTGAAAGCCAAGTTGGTGTTGAATTTTCCCATAAGCCGAAATAGTAGAGGTTACACGGTCTCAGCACGAGTCAGCTAATACACAGTGAATAAACTCCATTTAATAATTTACTGCTTCACTCTGTTCGTGTTTATTCTTTTAACCCTTTATATATTTTTAATATTTTAGAAAAACAAATTACAATGTTGATAAATAAATGTTGAAACTTTAATAAATTACCTTATAATTAAGGATACAACATTTAGTTTTAGAACTATACAATTTAAACCATATAATTTGGAGTTACATATTTAGTCTGAGGCAGCTGTTACCTTACAAATGCGCATCATAATTTCTTGCTTTGCATTTCTTGGCAATGAAAACTGCTACCTGAATAGGTAGACTGATCTGGTTTTTTAATTCTTTTTGTCTCCAGCATGTCATCGGCTCTGACCTGCTATTGATATTTTCAATATATTTTACTCTTCATAATTAAATGTTGACCAACTGTTAATTTGCTGAACCCTCTACTGAATATTCTGACACTAGTTATAAATACATCAATACCATATCATGTAGCAAGTCCTTCGCAGACGGTTGTCCTCATTGTGGTCTGCCTGAGAGAAACTTGGTCTCTTGCCAGCTCTTCCCCCTCATGCATTTCATATTCAAAGAGTCACCTATATCCTGTGCCCCTCTTCATGCTGGTCAGCCCCTGCCCCTCCTTCCTTATGCCGTGCCTTCTGCTATTATTTTTTCAAATCCGCCATGGCACCTGATATGACCAAAATATTTCAGTTTCTGTGACAAAATGCTGTTGATGAGCCGATCTTCCTTGATGTTCAGATATTTTTAAATGTCAGTATTTCTTCTCTGCTTTGTTCATAGTACTCTGAGAATCTTTCTATAGGATTTCAGCACTAAAATACATATTTTCTTTTTGAGGACTGGGATTTAGTTCATGACTCACATCCGTTTGTTGCTACAGGGAAGATGCAGGCTCTCAAAATTTTAATATTTATTTCCTTGCTGGTTCTTAAGCACAGACTTTTAATGCTGTTTAACAATACCATATCATAAAGTGTTATATCCTGAGATTAAACATCATCTATACATTATCTTCATGACACTGCTGACACATAAAGCAATCACATATGATCTCCCTTGCTGCTGGTTGGCTGCTTTTCAGTCTATGGTTCCCAGTGTCATTTATATTCCTTCATTTCCCTTTCTACTGTCCTTCTCCAGGTTTTATTAGGTCATTTATGCTTCATTTTTACATCTACCGTCAATCATCAAACAACATACTTTATGATAAAAGAAATTGTTGAATGTCGCAATCAAACTATTACTTATCAATCACATTACATGAAACTACAAATTCTACTCATTTAGCTCTTTTGATAGATTAGTTTCTACTTACAAATTACAGCAAAACCAGTTGATATTTCATAAATAAAACCACAATACAAAATGTACGTAGTTATCTTACTGTAACTTTATTATACTTTCACATTTTAAAATATTACTACCATATGTACCTCTGCCAATGTTCGCTGTCATGATCTGCCATCTTATATGATTACCTATCTCAGATCAGGACTGTGTTCTTTTTATACTTATTGTCAAAGCCATTCCTCTCTTTCTTTTCATCTTGCTCTTTACTCATCATGCTTTCAAACTTTCATGCAGATTTCCTTTTAATTTCTCTTCATAATCTGACCATAAATACTTCTTTAAAAAATTCTTAAATAAATGTTTTCATGCGTCTCTTGAAGGACTACCGCATCCTTCAAATATAGAATCCTAGCATTACATTCCCAAGATAATAAGTTAGAATATGAACAACTCTCGCCTGCAGAATTAAAGGTTGTGGGCTCAAATCCAAATAAAGCCAGATTTTTTTTTTAATGATCTTGGCTCTCAGATTTAAATGAATATCAGTTTTAGTCCTTGAAAGTAAAAGGACGACAGCAGCCACCAAATTCTGACAGATCTAAAAAACATATAGTATGGTATGCACATAATATGTGCTTTACTTCTTACTTACTTATAATATGAACAGACTTAAAAAACATACCCCCCCCCCCCCCCCCCCCCCCCAAAAAAAAAACCATATAAGCTTCATCTTCATACACTGTGTCTGTCTTACCTCATTATCAGATTCGACCAGAACCTGATCATATTCACTTAAGGCGACTAAAAACATGATGGACGTTACATTTTCAAAACAGTGGATCCATTTTCTGCGTTCTGACCTCTGACCTCCTACATCCACCATCCTAGAGAATTACAATCAATGTGAGTAAAAACATGACACATGCCAAACGCTAAAACACAGTGTCAAACAATTGCCAAACGCTAAAACACAGTGTCAAACAATTCCTTCCTACAACAGCTGTAAGCTCCAGGGAAAGTCCTGGTTGTTCATCCATTTAGACTTTGGCTTTGTGGCAGGACCTGAGTTTTGTGTGTGCATCATTTTTACTGGCTTATTTGTGTGCAGCTGGTTGCTTCTTGCCGCTCAGGCAGATGTGCTCTGACTTTGAAGGAAGCCTCCAATCAGTCAACTCCTGCGACATGCTTGTTGGGGGAGCCAGTGGGTCTATTCTTGTTTTTCCCACAATAGGGCCCCAGAACCTACACGGGGTCAATGTCAAACAAAAACAAAGACAACTTTTGTGATTATAACAGAAGTACTGGTTTGGTTGGGTCTGACATGGTCAGTGATGACTTTCTTTACACACACATAATCGTCATGAGTACTGGAGTTTCTTGCCACATATTACACAACGAGAATATAAGTACAGCAATAAAATGCTTTAGTCACAGCAAGGATCCAATGCATATATACCAGATTGGAAATGCTATTAAAATTGTTCAATGAATGAGTATTCTAATTTTGAAACAGTCAAGACAGCAGGATTTTGTGTCTGCTCTTTCCAATTTCCAATTGGCAAATTTATTTTGACCGTTCTGACAAAAGCACTGGTCCTGAGAGGTTCCCCTATAATCTGGGAGAAACAAACACTATCTGACATATTTTTTTTTTTAAAGTATGCCATCAAGGTGAAACAAATCAGGGCTGCAGCCAAAGGTGAACATCACGACCTTTAAGCCACTTAACCCCACCCTGCGAATTACTATAAAGAAAAGGCTCAAAATAAACTGGTGATGCATTATTCAGTGTTGCTGTATTGTCAGATGCAACATGGGAGCCACAGTGGTGTAGGGCAACATGGGAGCCACCGTGGTGTAGGACAACATGGGAGCCACCGTGGTGTAGGACAACATGGGAGCCACCGTGGTGTAGGACAACATGGGAGCCACTGTGGTGTAGGACAACATGGGAGCCGCTGTGGTGTAGGACAACATGGGAGCCGCTGTGGTGTAGGACAAAATGGGAGCCGCTGTGGTGTAGGACAACATGGGAGCCACTGTGGTGTAGGGCAACATGGGAGCCGCTGTGGTGTAGGACAACATGGGAGCCACTGTGGTGTAGGACAACATGGGAGCCACAGTGGTGTAGGACAACATGGGAGCCACCATGGTGTAGGACAACATGGGAGCCACCGTGGTGTAGGGCAACATGGGAGCCACCATGGTGTAGGACAACATGGGAGCCACCATGGTGTAGGACAACATGGGAGCCACTGTGGTGTAGGACAACATGGGAGCCACAGTGGTGTAGGACAACATGGGAGCCACCGTGGTGTAGGACAACATGGGAGCCACCGTGGTGTAGGACAACATGGGAGCCACCGTGGTGTAGGACAACATGGGAGCCGCTGTGGTGTAGGACAACATGGGAGCCGCTGTGGTGTAGGACAACATGGGAGCCACTGTGGTGTAGGACAACATGGGAGCCACTGTGGTGTAGGACAACATGGGAGCCACTGTGGTGTAGGACAACATGGGAGCCACTGTGGTGTAGGACAACATGGGAGCCACTGTGGTGTAGGGCAACATGGGAGCCGCTGTGGTGTAGGACAACATGGGAGCCACAGTGGTGTAGGACAACATGGGAGCCACCGTGGTGTAGGACAACATGGGAGCCACCGTGGTGTAGCGACTAGATACTCACCATGCAGATCCTAAGGTTGTGGGTGCATTAAATAAACTATCGATATAGTTTGATCTGCAGGGTTACAGAACATACAGAAATATAATGGTATATAATTAAACTGAAACATAACACATAGCTTTTAAAAAATCCAAGGATGTGCCCTCAACTCTTTCAGTCTCAAGGAATGCATCATATGTTCATAGGTTCCTTTTTAGAAGCCCAATGCATGCAAGATGTGCTGATTTTATGTCTCTCTTTACTACCCCTTGAGCCTCTGATGCTTAACCACCTGGGACTGAAACATTTAAAGAACAATATTCTCCTTTATATTTTCAGGTCCTAGTCCTCTTTGTATAATAGTGCATAGCTGAGTTGAGTTAAGAATTGACATTACAGCACTCAGGGCATTCCCATACACGCTCCATCCGCATCCTCAGCACCCAGTGCAGAGTTCCAATACTAATGGTGCCAGTCGTAGTCTGGTTTGGCTATCCTCAGAAAAACGATCCCACATTATCGAGGCTAAGAAAATACCCTAACAGGGCCTCAGTAAAATGTAAATTACTGACCTCTTTTTGGCGAATATACCGCATACAGCGGAAAGGCTTCCGTCGAGTTAAAGTCACCGGCGAGAGTATCCCATGTGCCGCGCATAGTGGCGCGGAGGGGGGCTAAACTAGATGGCTGGGGCTCACGAGCAGCAGTTACTGCATCTCCTGCAGCTTCCTCCATTTTATTTGATGTGTCCCAGCCATCTAGTTTAGCCCCCTCTGTGCGGCGTGGGGGATACTCTCGGCGGTGGCAGTATGGGGGATACTCTCAGCAGTGGCAGTATAGTTGCAGGAAAGAAGTCCGCAATTTACATATGACTGAGGCCCTGTTAGGGTATTTTCTTAGCCTCGATAATTTGTGACTATTATTTGGAGGATAGACTCTGGTTGTATGTTCGTCTTGCCTTTCCTCTGAGCGTAGTGTGCCGGCCATAACCCTTTGGTCACACCCAGGTGCATACATATTTAATATAGGTTATTTCAAATTTTAGTCAGCGCTTAAAATATAGTAGAAAATCATGAACATCAGCAATAAACCTTACCTGAATATTATACTATCAAGATCAAATGGGTATTCAATGATACCAGTTGTGGGCACTCTAACACGCAGAATATCTTGTAATGAGGGCAGGTAGTCAGGCTGCGAGATTCTTTCAACACTGTCTAAGTAGCTGTAGATGAGAGAGTCAAATATAAAACAAGGGATGACGATGTATCTCAAAGTGTTTGTTCATCACTGAAATTATAGCACTTGGGACATTCCTATAAGCGCCCTGTCCCCATCGTTAGCAGCAAGCAATTCCGATGGTCCCAGTTAAGTCAGTTGCATATCCAGTTCAGGATGTTGCAGAATCACCCTCAGCATTTGTTGGTTCAAACCTCAAGGTTGTGGTTTTTCTAGGCAAGTTTACGTCTAGTAGTTTGCCACTGCTTCTGAACATTCAGCTTCTCGATACCACTGTCAAAACCAATGCAAGGCCTGCAGCTGGGATCGAGCCAGGCACCTTGGCATTACAAAGTGCGTTCGCAACATCTAAGCCACAGACGGTACCAGTAACATCTGATATTATATCTATCTCGCCCCCTCCTCTGAGTGTTGAGGGTCAATTGGCCAGATCCCCTGCTCACTCCTCACTGCACCAATCTCTTCAGACCGTGATGATCTATTTGTGCCTGCACTGTTTACTAGCTCCCAAAGAGCCCTTACAACATCTACCTTCTCATGCATCAATTTACCACCAATTAGTGCAAAACCAGCAAATCTGTCTGCCTGTTTATTTCTCAATACATCGACAAACCCTGGAGAAAATATCCAAAGGACGCTAACTACCCCAGACCTCTGAAACGAAAGTTGCTACTCTGAATGCAGCAAAATCTCTACACCTTTCTCAACATGCTCTGAGAGTTAGTTACAGTCACGACATGTGTGGACAGCTGAAAACAGCAGAATGCTGCAGTGACTGCCTCAATCCCCATTCTCAAACTAGATTTTGCAGTATCGTATGCCAGGTTTTGTTGTACTAAGAGACATCCATTAACTTCTGCTATGACTCCCATTTCCCCATGCACTTCTCCTGCCTCTCAACCCAAATCTATCTGTATAGATAATCACAACACCTGGGCAGGAGTTAGTGTAAATCATCTGTTGAACTTCTGATTCCGTAGCACCTGCTGGCCAGTCCCTGAACTCATGGCCCAATGTTATTAGAACCCTACACAAGACAGAATGTTGCTCAGACACTCTGACCAACTCTTCTTGTCATGCAATATTGTCAATCCTGCACACATATTGGCAGTCTTCCAGTGGTTTGAAAACGGCACAGTCTTATATGTTGTGATTGTAAAAGACACAGAGCATACTTTGGAAAACTGAAACTGGTGTTCTGTGCGCAGAGTGGCTTGCATCCCTTGATAAGACCCAGATCAAGAGTATATTATGGATTTTATGTCCAGGATATTCAGGTGTGCAAGGTAATGAGAAGGCTGATAGATAAGCTGCTGTCGCTAATGGGTCTTATTGTAAAGAAAACAAGAACAGGCCCACTGCCTCCCCAAAAGAATGTCGTAAGAGTTAACTAACTGGAGCTTTCTTCAAAGTCGGAGTGCATCTGCCTGAGAGGCAAGGAGCAAACAGTCTGCATACACATGAGTCAGATCTGTAAAATGAGTGAGTATGCAACACTCAGGTTCTGGAACAGGACTAGTCCATAAGTGGACGAATAACTAGAACTTTCTGCCAAAGTTTACAGCTTGTGAATGCAAGGAGAAAAAGAAAGCATGATATATGGTTTATAAAATGCAAAAGCCTACCTTGAAAAAAAAAATGGACACTATATATCCCACAAATATAACCATGAGGACTGAATAAGATTTCATATCTGAGAAAACTATGCTACAATAATTCACCAAATGTTCATATAATGAATGGCAACTTACTATTTTGCAGAGTCTGTGAGTTGATATTCACGTCTGCGATCATAGCACTCCTGGATGCCGTCATCAGCCCAAAGAGAAATGATAGCTTCCACACACGGCTTGTCAAACGTAGTCACTGTTTCATAATCAACTTGACGGACCATATTTCCATAGCTCTAATCTCAGGAAACAAAAATACTCAATGTTACATCATGTATAAATGGTCATTGCAATTTTTATCAGAAACATGTCTCATTTAGCCCGATACTGAATTTCAGTGCTAGATCATACTGTGCTGCAAAAATGTGACCCCAAGACAAATGCACCATCGTTTAGTTCAGAGGCCTTTGTTTTTTCTAGCATACAAAGATGGAGTTCACTGCTAAAGAGAATGGACAATGCTTAACACAGCAAAGCCTAGTGTGTGATACTACAGCCTCTAGGTGGAGAATGTAGGTGGAGGCAGTCACAGCAACTTTCCGCTGGCTTGAAAACCAGACGTACACAAATGTCATGAATGTAACTGACTTAAATTATGTTAAGAAAAATGGAGACAGGCATGCTCCATGCAGAAAGGCAGGCATCGGTTCAAAGTAGTTAATATTATTTGGATCTTTTTTCCCCGGGTATGCAAGAATGTTGAGAAATTAACAGGCAGGCAAAAATTAGTGTTGAATTGATGCATGACAAGCTAGAAGTAGTCGAGTCTTTTTGGGAGCAAGTGAGCAATATAGAGGAACAAATATATCATTATTGTCTGGAGAGAACAGTACAACTACAAGTGACCAATGGATCTGGTCAAAACTGAGAGAACAGTACAACTACGAGTGACCAATGGATCTGGTCAAAACTGAGAGAACAGTACAACTACGAGTGACCAATGGATCTGGTCAAAACTAAGAGAACAGTACAACTACGAGTGACCAATGGATCTGGTCAAAACTGAGAGAACAGTACAACTACGAGTGACCACTGGATCTGGTCAAAACTGAGAGGAACAGTACAACTAGGAGTGACCAATGGATCTGGTCAAAACAGAGAGAACAGTACAACTACGAGTGACCACTGGATCTAGTCAAAACTGAGAGAACAGTACAACTACGAGTGACCAATGGATCTGGTCAAAACTGAGAGAACAGTACAACTAGGAATGACCATAGATCTGGTCACCACTCTAGGAAAGGCAAGATGGACATATTAATCAACCTGCTACTGGCATCATCAGAATCAGAACTCTTCAATGGCAGCTGTAGATGAGGATGGAGCACTTATGGGAAAGCCCTGAGTACTTCATGTCAGTTCTAAGTTCAACACTCATGGATGGAAACATAATCTACAAAAATGACATAAAAATGATACCTACAGGCAAGACATGCAAGCTAGAGCATATCATACAAGAAAACGAAGTCCTTTACATCGCCGCGGGAGAAGTGGCTATTCAGAATAATAGGTTGTATTTCATGAAAATCATCCGATAGAGGTTCTTTCCTCTCAAAGTATTGGAGACTGAACATCCAAAACTTTCCATCGCAATTTACAACCAGTCAACGCCAAGGAGAAGAAGACTTCAATTCAATATGTATATTTAATCCTCTTTTAAAATTGTATACATACACACACAGATATATACATATATATCATCATCATCAGGTGCCTTGCCTAGAACCTATATATATATATATATATATATAAAAGTATATATACCCTTAAGGACACAATAATAATAATAATATAAAAAAATAATAATATTTAAAAAATAGTAATAATAATAACAGTGGTCGTAATCATCATCATCATCAGGTGCCTTGCCGACTGGCGTGGGCAATCATGCCTCTCCATAATTTGCGATCTCCTGCAGCATGTATCAGTTCGTGTGCCAACACACCTCCACGCCATGCAACAAGACTGTCAAGCATCTTCTCTCGTTGTCTTCCTCTATCCCTCCTTCCACAGATCTTTCCAGTGGTCACAACATGTTCTATTTTCCCTCTTCTCATAATATGGCCGAAAAATGATGACTGTCTCCTTCTGATGTCTGTGATAAGTTGTCTTCGGGCTCCCTCCTCTTTCAAAACCTCTTGGTTGCTCTTTTTGACTGTCCAAGGTATTCTAAGCATTCTTCTGTAAAACCACATCTCTGGGGCCTCTAAAAATTGTTTGGCCTGCCTACCGATTGTCCAGGATTCACAGCCACATGTTAAAACTGGATGTATGTAGCAAGCAAGAATTCTTTTTATAACTCTCAATGACAAGGATATATTGCACAAGATGTTTTTCATTTTATAAAATGCAGTTTTTGCCTGTCCAATTCTGTTTCTTATCTCAGTTATGCATCTTCGATCTGATGTTATCCATGTGCCCAGATACTTACATTTCTGTACTTGTCCTAAAATAACACCATTGACTTCTATTACACATTTAAGAATAATTTGTTTCTTTGATACCACCATTACTTCTGTCTTCCCATTATTCAAACTGAGAGCCATTCTTTCACTTTCTAACACCACAATGTCTATCATTTCCTGTAATTCTTTCTGACTTGTTGCTATCAAGACTGTGTCATTAGCATAACGTAAATTGTTTATATATATATATATATATATATATATATATATATATATATATATATATATATATATATATATATATATATATATATATATATATATACATACATATATATGATTATCTGTGTGTGTGTATATATATATATATATATACATACACTCACACACACACACACACACACAGATACACATTTTATATATATATATATATATATATATATATATATATATATATATATATATATATATATATATATATATATATATATATATATATATTTATATATATACACACACACACACACACACATATACACACATATGTGTAGGGATCTGAAATATTAAAAATTGTCTATTGCCTTTATTTTTTTAAAGGAAAATAAGGCAAGCCAAATCTCAAAATTCACGGCCCTGAAAGAGTTAAGGAAGAAAATATGGGCTTTTAAGCTGAAATGCTATTGAGGTTCTCAGAATATCAATGACAAATAAGAAAACAAAATAGTCATATCTTAAAAGATCTGAACATCAAGGAAAACTGACTAGTAAACAGCATTTTGTTTAGTAAACCGAAATAATTGCCAAATCCATACATAAATTAACACCACATGATCTTTAAGAAGAAAGGGCAATAAGCTTAAAAGGGGTGAATCATAGCTGGGTAGGGCAAAGCATGACATCATGCAGGTTTGCAGCCTTACAGATATCCAACTAGGTGAGGAATGGATACCAGCATCTAAAGCACCCAATCTCACATTCTCCTTTATCGTAACGATTGACAGGAGTTGCCGGGAGCAGAATCCAGCCAAGGTATGCGGACTTATCAGTGACAAGTCAGATGAGACAGATGTGGTGATCTTCACAGACGGGTCCGTTATACGAGGACATAAGAGTGCATAGGCATTTACAGCTCGCTCTTCAGGCAGAAGAGTTCAAGAAGTCAGCAGTACTTCTCAATGACCACCAGGAAGTGATGGCGGTGACACAAGCTTTCATGTGGCTAGAATCCACGGACTATTTCCGTGTGTGTGTGCTGAGTGATTCTTTGAGCATGATCCGGCGAGTCGAGACAGGCTGGTTACGCAGACGGTGGTTTCAGTCATCGCAAAACTCTCCTGTGTGTGCAGTTACCTTCATTTTCGTCCTAGGGGGAGCATGCAGGCATTTGTTGGTAATGAAAGAGCTAATAAACTGGCAGTTTCTGCATTAATTGTTCAGACTATTGAAAACTACTGATGACTTGCCAGGGCATTTCATATTTTCTATGGTTGGCCCATGGATCACGCAGACATTGTCAGTGTCCTTAGAGAGAAAGGACCTTCTGAGGATTTTGGAAGCAACATGTCCACGTCACTGCTAAGAATACGCGAACTGGGAGTAAAGATCAGCACAGCCAAGCATGAGAAGCACACCAGACGCACACAAAGTCTTGTTAACCAACATAGGACTGGCATTTTAACCACATGACGCTGAATCTAATGTTAAGAGGGGAATCTAATGTTGAGAGGGGAATCTAATGTTGAGAGGGGAATCTAATGTTGAGAGGGGAATCTAAGTGCTTATGGATGTGTCGGGAGTTCTGTGAAGATAATTGAACTCATAACTCGCAGACAAAAATAACTGACGTGTGTTGAGTGTGCATGTGCGCATGCATGCGACTGTGTGTGCATGCACAAATATTTACCTGTGTGTGCACATTATATATATATATATATATATATATATATATATATACAGCTTAAAAGATGGAGAAATAGTAAGATTGTCTAAGTCTTCATACAAAAGTTTATGAGTTACATCTGCTTCTGACATTCATTAACTCATTCCCCCTAAGCAAAACATGATCTGTGAGGGTCTTTCTCACTCCCACTTTTTTCTTCTCCTCATCCTTAACATTCACCGGCTGTAATTATAGTTGTTCATCCACTCTGGACTTTAGTCCTGTTACAGAACTTGACTTTTGACTGCACATTGATTTTACAGATCTATCTGCCTTGTTTGCAGACTGTTGCTTCTTAGCTCCCAGGCTGATGCACTTCACTTCAAAGGAAACACCTGTATCAGACATCTTTTATGCCATGCTTCTTAGGGAGGCGGTGATTGTTTTTGTGTTTTTTTTTCATTTGAAGTACAACACCGAACCATGTAGCAGGTCGTTTACAGAATATCATTCTCACTACAGCTTACGTGAAAGAAACTCAGTCTTCTGCCAGCTCTCCAGCCTCATGCACTTTCATATCCAAGGTGTACTCTATGTCCTGTGCCCATCTTCATGCTGGTCAGCCCCTGCCCCTCTTATGCTGTTCTGACTAATCCACTACACCGCTTAATACAGTCAAAATATCCCATTCTGAGACAGGATGCTGAGCCTATCTTCCATGATGTTCAGATCTTTTGAGATGTTTAAAAAGTACAGAAGAGAGAGAGAGAGAGAGAGAGAGAGAGAGAGATAGAGAGAGTGTGTGAGAGAGAGTGTGTGAGAGAGAGAGTGTGTGAGAGAGAGAGAGTATCTGTGAGAGAGAAAGAGAGATAGAGTGTGTGAGAGAGAGAGTGTGTGAGAGAGAGAGAGAGAGAGAGAGAGAGAGAGGCACACACACACACACGCACTCACATAGAGAAAAGAAAGTAACACTGAATCCGAAATGTTTCAAATACATTCATGGAACAATATATAGAGATCACACGTCAAGTGTCAGTGCAGAGTATCATGAAACAATATGTGGCTTAGGTGTTACGAACAAGCTTCATAATGCCGGGGTGTCAGGTTCGATCCTAGCTGGGAGCCTTGCACCTTGCGTAGGTTTCAACAGTGGTATTTAGAAGCTGATCGTCCAGAAAGCAATGGTAAACTACTGGACGTACATTTGCCTTAAAAAACCAAAACCATCAAAAAATGCTGGGGTTGGTTCTGCAATGTCCTGTAAAGGATACCCAAAGCAACTAACAAACTCAATAAATAATATTCAAAGTGGACCACAACATCCCTGGCAATAACTTGAATTTTTTATTTTACCAAAAAAACAGAGACAAACTTTAAAAAAGCTTTTAAATATTATTTCCCACTATTAATTTAAATAAAGTGAACACGAACAATATAATGCAGTTTTTTAGCCAACATACTTTTCTGTATCTTTTTGGATGTATTTTTCCAGTTTCAATCAACAAGAAACCACGTGATTTGTGTATTTCAGTTGAACTCATGCATGTTTTGTGCTTCATAATATGTTCTCTGTAATAATAATCTGTATACTCTAGTGATGCGGCTGATGAGAAACGGCAAAATATGCCAGGCAATCAAATGTCTGTATCAGTGAGACAACTTTGATGCCAGAAAAGACAAGCCCAAATCTAGACAAAGAACACTTTCTCCTCATCTTTCGACCTATGCAATTTACGACCATCCCCACTTATGACACACACACAAAGCAAATAAAGAACAATTACACTGGTGGGGTCTAAAATTTCACGGAAATGATGCAACAGAGTACATATTATAATTTTTCACATTATGTACATTAATTTTATGTACATATTGAACTTAATATAGAAAAACATTAATCTGACCTACAACCAGTTTAACTTACGACCTGTCAGTTGCAACGGTATCTAGTTCATAGTTCGAGAAGACCCTGTATACAGTGCAGGATAGAAACAAGCTTCTTCAGCCATGGAGAAAACCTAAAGCACCAAATCATTGAGCATGCAGAGCATGCAACAATTCAAAGAGAAGAAATTCTACGGCTAGGAAACACGAAATACAAACATACACTAAAACAGCAATACAGCAGTGGTACATACCCGATTGGCAGGATTGATATACTGAATATTGAGCGTATCCATGGCACGAATCATGGCGTGCATGGCCATGAATATATTTTGGTACACAATTTTGATGTGGCTGCGCTTGTCCTCATCTGAATAGCCTGCTCCATGTATAATTCTCATTTGTTTGATGAATGTACTCTTGCCGGATTCTCCTGTGCCTGTTCAAGGGAACAATAAAACACAGATTAGGACAGTGAAAACCTTGTTAGTTAGTTAGTTAGTTAGTTAGTTAGTTAGTTGGGTTATCATCATTGCACTCCGGACATGTCCATAGGTGCTCAGATTCTCCCCTCAGTATGAACCCCAACGTCCGATGGCTAATAGTACCAGTTCTATGTTGATTAACAAGTTTTCTGGCGTGTCTGGTGTGCGTCTCATTTTTTGCTGTGCCGATCTTAATTCCCAAGTCTGCCATTCTAGCGAGTGATGTGGATTCACTGCCACCAAAGTCCTCTATCCTTCCCATTTCTCTGAGGGCATTGATAATATCAGCATGATCCATAAGCTGACCGTCGGTAGTGATAGCGGATCCAGCCAACATGTGAGCTCTTTCATTTCCATCGACGCCTGCGTGTCCCGGAACAAAAATAAAGGTGACTCCACGCACAGTGGACTTCTGTAATGATTCAAGCCATTGTCTTTGCACTGAACCTGCCTGAACCCTCCGGATCATACTCATTGAATCAGTGAAAACCTTGTGTTCTAACTTAAGTCCCTCCATTCCAAGAGATACCCACTACATTTATTAGTTACTCTGTATGACTTCCTGTTCAACATAATGGATAGGCAGGCTGACCGCTGATGTTCTGAAATGTTATTTGTTTCTAGTCACGGTGTGCTGGTGCAGTTTCCCCATTTCTAGAGTGGGAGTCCAAATGTTTCGTCACCCAGCTACTGTGTTAAGCTCATTTCAACACTGCATTGTGGATTTCACACAATATGGGTTTTTCTCTGTTGTGCTCACAGGGGATTTTGCTGTCATGAACTACATTAAAAATGGCGAGTGGCTGATATTCATAATGTCTGTAGCTGTGTGGGCAATACCAGCTTTCATTATTAACTGCTTGCATCTACAGTCAAGAGTAATTCTGGTGGAAGACAAATGTTGGCACATCTGATGGCTGCCTTATACATTTACATGCATGTGTTAGCTTCAAGATTTTGCTAGGACTGATATGTTTTTCACCAGTTTTGTTCTTTCTCTCAAACTGGACAGTTAAGAATCTTTTGTGTGACTTCCAATGCTACAAGAATGGGGCAGTTATGGGGTGAACCGTCTAAAGTGAGGTTGGGACTCCAACTAATTAATAATATTTATGACCACAAAATGTTTCTCTTTTTAACAAGTTTTTGTGTGAGTGTGTGGGGGGGGGGGGGGGGGGGGGGGAAATGTTCCTCTATCAACTATTAACCCTTTTGTCAGAGTCAATGAATCTGATTTTTCTGTCAATTATTAACTCTCTTGTCAGAGTCCATGAAAATGACTCCACTCTCTCACCAGTTAGCAAGCGGGAAAGGTAAAGCTTTCACTCTTGAGTTATATGTGTCATAACAGCGGTTTTACTGAATTTACATATTCTTCAGTGACAGAAGACATAAACACAGGTAGGTATTGGGAGCTGGGAAAGTGGGGGAGGGCCCCTATATTTCATCATGAACGTCCCATGCATATTTCTGATTAAGTCAGCTTAGTAGTAAATTTCAGTTTTTCAGCGTCTTATCATAGGTCTCTGACACTGCTTGAGACAATTGCTTTTTTTTTCTTTCACCTCACAGAAAGTTCAGTCTCAACATTTAACCCAGATATACTGAAAGCCCCTCTGGGCACAGGTGCTGCCTGGAGTTCATCACTCACTTCAAAACAATGTCACCATATTTAAATTACAGTCGAGTCTGGATAAGTAGAAGTCGCAGGGACCTAAGAAAATGCTTGCACCTATCAGGACTTCTACTTATCCAGACAACACACACAATGGAGAAAATTGCTGGGACTAAGCTGGTCATGTCGACTTTACTGAAATTCGACTTAAGTGAACTCGACTGTACTTGTATCAGTGCCAATATAAATTAAAGATTGTGAATAATTATTTATGATTCATCATCAGTCAGCCGGTCTGTTACAGAACGTCACTCTCGTCTCGGCACGCCTGAAAGTCTCCTTTTCTCTAGCCAATTCTCCACCCCTATGTGCTTTCATAGCCAATGAGGTGTTCCTCTGTCTCATTTTCCAGATACCGTACCCTCTATCACCATTTTCTTGAGGCCAACGTGACATTTAACATGGCCAAGATACCTCTACATTTAGAACAGGATGCTGTTTATGGCCCAATTCTCCTCATCCTCATGGAGGATGTCAGTTCTTTCTTTGTCTTAGTCAAGGCATTACAAGAAAAGAGGGAAAAAAAGAACTGCCATCTCTTCTTCTAGAAAAGAAACTTTCCACGTGACTATACATACCAAACATTCCATACCACTGAGCGCTGTCTAAAATATAGAGATTTTGTTAACCTTGTGTCTGTCTCATTATTTTGTTTTTTGAGCTCTCATAATATGGTCAAACCATTTGAAGTGAAAGGTTTTAACCCACACTGGACAGCAGATTTGAGGAGACAACAGTCTGCACAAATACAAGCCTGATTTGTCAAACTGGTGTGCACACAAAACTCAACTCCTGGAATAGAACTAAAGTCCAGAAAGAGAAGAATAAACAGAATTTTCTACATGAGTTTAGAGCATGTGATGCTGAGAAGAAGAATTTACATATGAATAATGGCTTTGAGTTAATGACAATCCTTCATAATGCCTTAAATGAGACGAAAATTAACTGAAGTGACTCACAAATCATCCTAAATGTCCTACATTCCACACATAGTGCCTCCCTCAGTACAATTCGTAAAATACATAACTCTTATTTGTTTGCGGTATTTCTACAAGATATAAAGTGGAGCTGTGTAATGCAAGACAATGCAGTACAAGTGATGTCACTGATTGCACTGTTAATCATCATCATCATAAACCACTTCTGCCGTTAAGCGTTATGGGGAGGAATAATTTGCGATCCCGTGCATGTTGGCTGCCACTGGGCATTGCTGTGAAGACGTAGTGTTTGTAATGTTGTCGATCCATTTTTTCCGCTGCCGTCCTCTTGCTTTTGTAGCTGATCTTCTGAGATGTAGTGCTTGTGATGGTATCTGATCTTGCTGCATTCTAACGAGATGTCCAAACCACTTGATCTGCTGTTTCTCGATGAATCTAGTACAAGGTGTGGTTCCCACAATTTGCCTGATAGTTTCATTATTCACTCGATCTCGGATGGATAGGTTGGCTGCTTTTCTCAGGCACCTCATTTCACAGGTGGTGCTTTTGCGTACATGGGCTTTAGATAGTGTCCATGTTTGGCACTGGTAGCTTAATGTTGGAATGAATGTGCTGTTAATAATCTGTCTCTTTGCAGTCATAGTTATGCTTGGATTTCTTATAATGGTGACAACTGGTATATAAGCGCACTTGCCTTCTGACATCTGGTGTCTATTTCTCTGTCAATTTTACCATCTTCTGTGATCATACTTGTAAATGATTATACAGTTAGTGGACCGCTACAGCACTGGACAAACAGTTGTGAAACTAACTGTGCAGTACAGGACTAACAGTTGTGTAACTGACTGTATCATTAGTGGACCACTGCAGCACTGGACTATTAGTTTTGTAAATGTGCAGTACAGGACTAACAGTTGTGTAACTGACTGTATCATTAGTGGACCACTGCAGCACTGGACTACTAGTTTTGTAAATGTGCAGTACAGGACTAACAGTTGTGTAACTAACTGTATCATTAGTGGACCACTGCAGCACTGGACTACTAGTTTTGTAATTGTGCAGTACGGGACTAACAGTTGTGTAACTGACTGTATCATTCGTGGACCACTGCAGACTGGACTACTAGTTGTGTAACTGTGCAGAACAGGACTAACAGTTGTGTAACTGACTGTATCATTAGTGGACCACTGCAGCACTGGACTACTAGTTTTGTAAATGTGCAGTACAGGACTAACAGTTGTGTAACTGACTGTATCATTAGTGGACCACTGCAGCACTGGACTACTAGTTTTGTAAATGTGCAGTACAGGACTAACAGTTGTGTAACTAACTGTATCATTAGTGGACCACTGCAGCACTGGACTACTAGTTTTGTAATTGTGCAGTACGGGACTAACAGTTGTGTAACTGACTGTATCATTCGTGGACCACTGCAGACTGGACTACTAGTTGTGTAACTGTGCAGAACAGGACTAACAGTTGTGTAACTGACTGTATCATTAGTGGACCACTGCAGCACTGGACTACTAGTTTTGTAACTGTGCAGTACGGGACTAACAGTTGTGTAACTGACTGGACAGTACAGGACTAACAGTTGTGTAACTAACTGGACAGTACAGGACTAACTGTTGTGTAACTGACTGGACAGTACAGGACTAACAGTTGTATAACTGACTGGACAGTACAGGACTAACAGTTGTATAACTGACTGGACAGTACAGGACTAACAGTTGTGTAACTGACTGGACAGTACAGGACTAACAGTTGTGTAACTGACTGGACAGTACAGGACTAACAGTTGTGTAACTGACTGGACAGTACAGGACTAATAGTTGTGTAACTGACTGTATCATCAGTGGAACACTGCTGTACAAGGCACACCTTATTTAGGACGCATGATGCCCCTATGCATTCATATATGTGAGGCAACCTTTTTCCCTAGCTAAGCTTCAGAAATGCGATTTGGATGCCCCCGAATACTTATCTAATGCAGGTTTCATAATAATAAAAGAAATAAAAACAAACATTTTATCACTACTACAGTGTTTCCATACAAATAAATCAGGTCTCATATGAACTTTTACAGGGAAGGCTAACCCGGCCCATAGAAGTCAGATGTGTTGGCCGAAAGGTGCAAATATCGCAGCCATGCTGTAAACGGACACAACGCAATTACATCTTCAGATGAACGCAGAAGAAGAAGAAATTAACTTTTGCTTGAAACAAAATGCCCGGGAGCTTATTTTCTGGATTTCTTTTTCCACATACAAAAATTTACATGCAAACTTCTAGTTATTCAAACACAGTCACATCTTCTTCTGGAACATCAGAATAACTCTTAAAGTGTGACCGACGCTCGTTCATTATTAAGTGTGCACCAATGGGGCCTGTACTCCGTTGCTATTCGGCAACAAGTCTCTCATTCTAGCTGATGATCTTAATTATCGCCTATTTTGGTAACAGGGTTTATTTCAAGTGTCCTGAGAATTGTGCAAGGGCTTAATTTTGGGGCAGGGTTCATTTCAGGGAGAAGGTCTGAATTTCAGGGAAACAGTAGTTATATTTTGACAGCTTTAAAATGATGCCTCACATGGCTTAAGACGACCCGAGTATAGGACTATCAGTGGTGTTAACTAATTGTAACATCAGTGGTGTTGACTGACTGTAACAACAGTGGTGTTGACTGATTGTAACATCAGTGGTGTTGACTGATTGTAACATCAGTGGTGTTAACTGACTGTAACATCAGTGGTGTTAACTGATTGTAACATCAGTGGTGTTAACTGATTGTAACATCAGTGGTGTTAACTGACTGTAACATCAGTGGTGTTAACTGATTGTAACATCAGTGGTGTTGACTGATTGTAACATCAGTGGTGTTAACTGACTGTAACATCAGTGGTGTTGACTGATTGTAACATCAGTGGTGTTAACTGATTGTAACATCAGTGGTGTTGACTGATTGTAACATCAGTGGTGTTAACTGACTGTAACATCAGTGGTGTTAACTGATTGTAACATCAGTGGTGTTAACTGATTGTAACATCAGTGGTGTTAACTGACTGTAACATCAGTGGTGTTGACTGATTGTAACATCAGTGGTGTTGACTGATTGTAACATCAGTGGTGTTAACTGATTGTAACATCAGTGGTGTTGACTGACTGTAACATCAGTGGTGTTAACTGACTGTAACATCAGTGGTGTTAACTGATTGTAACATCAGTGGTGTTAACTGATTGTAACATCAGTGGTGTTGACTGACTGTAACATCAGTGGTGTTGACTGATTGTAACATCAGTGGTGTTAACTGACTGTAACAACAGTGGTGTTGACTGATTGTAACATCAGTGGTGTTGACTGATTGTAACATCAGTGGTGTTGACTGATTGTAACATCAGTGGTGTTAACTGATTGTAACATCAGTGGTGTTGACTGATTGTAACATCAGTGGTGTTAACTGATTGTAACATCAGTGGTGTTAACTGATTGTAACATCAGTGGTGTTGACTGACTGTAACATCAGTGGTGTTAACTGATTGTAGCATCAGTGAAACACTTGCTGTCTAGGACTATTACTTGTGTAACTGATTGTAACATCAGTGAAACACTTGCTGTCTAGGACTATTACTTGTGTAACTGACTGTAACATCAGTGAAACACTTGCTGTCTAGGACTATTACTTGTGTAACTGATTGTAGCATCAGTGAAACACTTGCTGTCTAGGACTATTACTTGTGTAACTGACTGTAACATCAGTGAAACACTTGCTGTCTAGGACTATTACTTGTGTAACTGACTGTAACATCAGTGAAACACTTGCTGTCTAGGACTATTACTTGTGTAACTGACTGCACCGTTGGTAGAAATATGCAGTACAGGACTATTAGTTGTTCTAAATATATTTGAGCTGCCATACAGTACAGAAGCACCTATGCAGCACAGAAACATTTAAATGAGAATCTATAATCTTCATCTGTGCTTAGGATTTTTTAGGATCACTACAAGTTGATGAAATATAAATCTTGGCAACAAATATGACTAAGAACAGAACAAGAATTAGAATGCAAAAAAGGCCGCAAGCAGTAGTATTTCTTTTTCTTTTAATCTTTAATCTGATTTGGACTGGGACACTTACTAAAAATGTTTATAGCCACAGCAACAAGTTCTGTATCTAAATAAATATACTGATGTACTTTTAAATTATTTTTTTTTAATTTCTGTACTGTACAGTGTATGTTGCTATGTATATGAGTCATAAACCTGATATAGCATATAGTGTGGACATATACAGTACACTAATTTACTATGAATCTTTCGGTTTATCTGGTTTGATGCCACGAGCTGATATTCTAGTATACAAATTAGTATTAGTTCTGTGTCTATCTGACTTCACTTTTTGTGTGACTGTGAGCTTATGCCCGCTACCCGACATCTGTTCACGGCAACAGTACTCATTCTTCGTGCTCAAACCAACTTGTCTCTTCCCTCACTAATCAAACATCCAAAATGGCGACGATGATACCGCAATGGCTACTGGCTGTGTATGGCTTAAGAAAACGTCCTGGTTTTCAGTGTTGAAACCTTCCACAATTTAATGCATGTGTTGTGATGAAAGTTCCTACGATTATGTACGTCAAGGCGTACTGACCGCACACAGCAGCTCAAATTAACTAAACGGCCTGGCAGCAAAGAGATCAAATGAGGTCGTGTTTTGGTAGTTATGTGAGAACTCAGGCACGAGTGGGGTCACTGGCTGGTACGCCACGGATTTGACAGCCCTCGGAGACATGTACATGTGGATACAAATCATACACTTACCTAACAATAACAGTTTCAGCTCCCTCCTAGCATCTCGCTTATCTCTTTTAAGCTGTCGTTCTATTTCTTGATTTATCCGTTTTTGCTCCTTCAGCTCGTCTGGAATACAACAGGCCATCGCGCTGCTGAAACAGTCACGAAGACGACTGCAAGTACCCCGCCGTCTCCGATGAAATTTTTGGCAGCAACGGCCGGAAAAGCTTTATTCAACCACTCCGATATGTTTATCTGATGCTCCAGTGTGAAAAGATGAATCACAAAAAACGGATTGACAAGAAAATAAAGAACGGCACCTCGCCGATTGCTAGTCAAAATTGTCGAACCATTCGGATGGCTTAGAAATGGAGGCACACAAAATTTGCTAGGGTGTGGTGCAGTGGGAGTGTGTTCGAATGCCGCCTCGGCTGTCGGTAAGCTCGTTGTACGGCTTCTTCGTCTTTACGACTCACTCGTTGTGCAAATACTCAAAGAAAATTTGGAGAAATGTGTTTTTGATTCTTTCGTATACCTCAAAAGATAATTATAAAAGATATATTTCTCCATAAGAACCAAAGTTCACTGGCGTAAGAGCCACGAGTTCTAAAATTATGGGATGTTCACTGATAGGAGGCTGACCAATGCATACCTAATGAGTCGGTGCCACCGAGTTCTGCCTGTCCATGCTGAAAACACATCGTATCCAAGTGATCAACTGAGGCAAATACACAAGACACTACATCTTTTCAGAACTGACAAATTCACACTGGTCTCACAGTACTGTCTGAATCTAGACCTCTTGCCAGCAGATCCGGCTATCGGTTACAGTAAGGTATCCGGAGAACATATGGTGCTGTTTTTACAAAACATTACAGAAAGTTATCTCAAGTCTCTACTGTCAGGGTACCGCTTCCCCCTAAAAGGAAAGTATGAGCAAAGAAGAATATTGGTGTATAAAACTGTACCTCTGCTTATAAATTACTGTGTGTATGTGTTCACATATGCATGTTGTATGTATCAGAACGCTGGAATCTCATGCACCCCCCCCCCCTTTCTTCCCCCACCCCTCTCCCAGCCCTATCCTCTTTCAATTAGTACAAGGGCTAAGCGGATTCCCCCCCCCCCCCCCTCTCGCTTTTGAAAAAAAATGTGTGTGAAAGTTATGCTTAATATTTGTTTATACGTTTCCTATTGTTTACCGTTCAGCACATCGTTATCATCACTATTATTGTTACGAAACTAATCTAGAGTTAAGTCTTTGAGTGCCTACTTCAGGAAGTTTGTAATTTGGGTGAGGAACACCCCCCCCCCCCCCCCCCTTCCTGTTTTTTTTTCTTCACGAAAACCAATCCCAATATTGTCGTGGTGTGTGTGTGCGCGCCCGCGCGTGTGTGTGTATGTGTATTTGTAGCGATGCAAAAGCACACACGTATGGCAATTTGTGTACAAATATAACATCTACACTTATCGACACGGAACATAATAATGATAGTTCTAGTTTTCCTGCGAGTATTTGTTTAAGACGTAGTCAAATATCATATTCTGATTCGGTATTTCTACAAGTGTAAATTAAGCCAAATTTAATATTGAGATCTCAATTGAAAAAAAAAAAGCTTAACAAGGTCAATTATTTCAAAAATCTGGGAACAATCATATCATCAGATGGACAATGTGTGACAGAGATTAAAAGCAGATCGGTCAAGCGAAGGCTGCATTTCCGAAAATAAAACATATCTTATGCAATAAATCGCTCTCATTTAATGCTAAAATGTTGCATAGAACCTGTTCTGCTGTATGGCAGCGAATCGTGGAATGTCAGTGAACAAATTAAAAAGAATTTGGAAGCAACAGAGATGTGATTTCTGAGACGAATATTACGAATACCTTAGATGGCCAGAATAACTAACAGCGATTGTTTAAAAGAGGTTAATGAAAGTAGATCTCTATATACAACAATAAGAAGGAGACAAACGCTGTTTGTCTGGTAACTCCACTTAAGGCTGAGACGATCTGGGAGCCAAGGTCATTTTGAAAAAGAATGGGGCAGGAGGGGGGTTGGTGGGGGAATCCGAAAGAATACCGTTCGAACTCACGACCTTTCGGTCGGCAAACTAGAGTCTAGCCACTAAACCACGATGGCTCCTAAGCAGGAGTAAGCAAGCGTAAAAATAGAGGACCTTTTACCCCGCCTTCAGACGTAATGGGTGTATAGAGCTAGATCTATATTTTATAGACAAATTTGTACTCGGTGGATGATATGGTAAACCTCACATCGGCCGCTTTTACTTCCCAGAACATTATCTGGGGCCTATTTGAGGCTGGGTTCACCTAGCAGCCAGTTTCATTTCTGAAAGTCCGGCTTCGTCAGGACTTGAACCCGCGACCTTCGGGTCCGCAGGAGATCGTCTAGCAGTTACACCACAGCGGCTTCATACAAGGGCAGGAGTAGCTTATGCATAAGAAGCTTAAGTAACAATTCGGGTAAAGGATGAGACACGGGGTGTTTTTAGTAATTTTTAGGATTGATAGAGTGGGTGAGACACGAAGAGTTTCAGTAACAATTAGGGTAGAGTGGCTGAGAGAGAGGGGGAATTTGAGAAATTATTAGGATAGAGTGGATGAGACACCAGGAGTGTGAGTAATACCCAGCTAGATGAGACACGGAGAGTTTCAATAACAGTTAGGGTACAGTTGGTGAGAGAGGGGGAATTTGAGAAACAATTAGAATATCGCAGATAGGACACGAGGGTCAAAGTAATAATTGGGACAGTGGGCTGAGCGAGACGCAGATGAGACACGAGGGCCTGGCCCGCCGAGTAACTTAAAATAACCAGGGTTTTCCTCTTCAATTTCTCTCGATAATTTGACAATATGACTAGCTCAAACAGTTACATTTAGGAATATATGGAAGCGCTTCAGTGGGTGAGTGTGTCTGGTCAGAGGAGTAGCGAATGATTATCATCTCAGATTGCCACACAAAAATATTGTGTTACGAGACAATCTAGATCGTATCTTTATAATAAATAATACTTTTTTTTCTATTCAACCCCGTGACTAGGTTGGTAATTTTAAATTTAACTCGTGGGACCCCTTCCCCATCCCCCAAAGACTAGTGGTTGCCCGGCTCCATCTTTTCTGTCTGTTGACACTAATGGTTGCCCAGCTACATCTTCTCTCTCTGTTGACACTAATGGTTGCCCAGCTACATCTTCTCTCTCTGTTGACACTATTGGTTGCCCAGCTCCGTCTTCTCTGTCTGTTGACACTAGTGGTTGCCCAGCTCCATCTTCTCTCTCTCTCTGTTGACACTAGTGGTTGCCCAGCTACATCTTCTCTCTCTGTTGACACTAGTGGTTGCACAGCTCTATCTTCTCTGTCTGTTGACACTAGTGGTTGCCCAGCTCCATCTTCTCTGTCTGTTGACACTAGCTGTGGCCGAGCTCCTTCTTCTTTGTCTGCTGACACTAATGGTTGCCCAGCTCCATCTTCTCTGTCTGTTGACACTAATGGTTGCCCAGCTACATCTTCTCTCTCTGTTGACACTAGTGGTTGCACAGCTCTATCTTCTCTGTCTGTTGACACTAGTGGTTGCCCAGCTACATCTTCTCTCTCTGTTGACACTAGTGGTTGCACAGCTCTATCTTCTCTCTCTGTTGACATTAGTGGTTGAACAGCTCTATCTTCTCTGTCTGTTGACACTAGTGGTTGCCCAGCTCCGTCTTCTCTGTCTGTTGACACTAGCTGTGGCCGAGCTCCTTCTTCTTTGTCTGTTGACACTAATGGTTGCCCAGCTCCATCTTCTCTGTCTGTTGACACTAGTTGTTGCCCGGCTCCATCTTCTCTGTCTGTTGGCACTAGTTGTTGTACAGATCCATCTTCTCTGTCTTCTCTGTCTGTTGACACTAATGGTTGCCTAGCTCCATCTTCTCTGTCTGTTGACACTAGTGGTTGCCCAGCTCCATCTTCTCTGTCTGTTGACACTAGTGGTTGCCCAGCTCCATCTTCTCTGTCTGTTGACACTAGTGGTTGCCCGGCTCCATCTTCTCTGTCTATTGGCACTAGTTGTTGCACAGATCCATCTTCTCTGTCTTCTCTGTCTGTTGACACTAGTTGTTGCACAGATCCATCTTATCCGTCTTCTCTGTCTGTTGACACTAATGGTTGCCCAGCTCTATGTTCTCTGTCTGTTGACACTAGTGGTTGTCCAGATCCATCTTCTCTGTCTGTTGACACTAGTGGTTGCCCAGCTCCATCTTTTCTGTCTGTTGACACTAGTGGTTGCCCAGATCCATCTTCTCTGTCTGTTGATACTAATGGTTGCCCAGCTCCATCTTCTCTGTCTTCTCTGTCTGTTGACACTAGTGGTTGCCCAGATCCATCTTCTCTGTCTGTTGATACTAATGGTTGCCCAGCTCCATCTTCTCTGTCTTCTCTGTCTGTTGACACTAGTGGTTGCCCAGATCCATCTTCTCTGTCTGTTGATACTAATGGTTGCCCAGCTCCATCTTCTCCGTCTTCTCTGTCTGTTGACACTAGTGGTTGCACAGATCCATCTTCTCTGTCTGTTGACACTAATGGTTGCACAGATCCATCTTCTCTGTCTGTTGACACTAGTGGTTGCACAGATCCACCTTCTCTGTCTGTTGACACTAGTGGTTGCACAGCTACATCTTCTCTGTCTGTTGACACTAGTGGTTGCACAGCTACATCTTCTCTGTCTGTTGACACTAGTGGTTGCCCAGATCCATCTTCTCCGTTTTCTTTGTCTGTTGACACTAGTGGTTGCCCAGATCCATCTTCTCTGTCTACTTTGTCTGTTGACACTAGTGGTTGTCCAGAAATTTTCTCATATCTCTTCACTCCCCCTTAAATTCACCCAATTTTAATATAGCATATTTGCTTAGAAGTAAACAACACTATACTAGGACGTTAACTTATAGACGTTAGATTTGCACAGCGTCAGGTTTTGAAGCAGCATGGCACGCGAGCTTTGGTATGTTCTACATAGACGCTGCTAGAATTGACAGACGCAGATCTATCCATTGGTTAACCTGTAAATCGGCTTCCTTTGTGACTAAGGATAGGGCTCGCTGTGGTGTGCCATACGGTGATTGTCTTGACACATGTCCAAACAATTTCATT